GGTTTTCAGTTTTGAAAGACCAGAGCAGTCTGGGACAGTCTGGCTGGAGCTGGGAAGTCCACCTGGAGGATGGCTCCCTCACACGCCTGGGAAGCTGCGACGGCAGCCGCGACGGCAGAAGGATCAGGCCTCACTGTCTCCGCACGGACTTCACAGCACAGCGGCAAGCAAACCTGCATGCTGTCCTTTCTGCCATCTGTGTGGAGGACACAAATCAGTCCCAACCAGGGTGGGAAAGGACTAGACAGGGCACCTCTGAAATTGGCTACCACTGGTCTTTCTTTTTCTTTCTCTCTCTCTCTCTCTCTTTCTCTTTCTTTCTTTCTTTCTTTCTTTCTTTCTCTCTCTTCCTTTCCTTTCTTCCCTTTCCCTTTCCTTCCTTTCTTTTTTCCCTTTCCTTCTTTCATTCTTTCTTTTTTTTTTGTAGGAGTACTGCTATTTATTTAGCCACTGATTAGCAGATTGAATTGTGCATGAACTCCACCTTATTTTTCTTTTTTTCATTTTTTATAATTTTATTTATTGAATCACCATGAGAGCAGTTACAAAGCTTTTTTGGGTCTAAGTCTGTCATACAATGAAACACCCGTACCTTCACCAGTGCCCATTCTCCACTACCAAAAATCCCAGTATACCCCCATCCCACACCCTCCCCCCACCTGTGGGGCAGATGATTTCCACATTACTCTCTCTCTACTTTGATCACATTTAATATTTCAACACCAGACCCACCATTATTATTTGAGATTTTACCCCAACACTCAGATATGCTGAAAGGGCAACAGTAGACAATTTGTGTTCTATTGCTGGTTATGAATATCATAGGATGTCGCGTGGCTGCAGTAGGGCCATGTGATTTTGAAATTCCGAAATTTTAACACTTAAATTTGGAGGGATTTCTGCCAAAAGTCACTGGGTTTTGAGATTTGCTCCTGAGTCTCTGGGATCATGGCTGTTGAGCTGCTTGATCAGAAGCCAGAGAGGCCGTTTGTGGGCGATGACTTGGGGTCTCGTTGGGGTGGGGAGGACAGGCCCGGCTCCACCCCATCCCGTGAAGCCCAAGTTTCCTCACTGCGGGTCCAAGCTTGACTGTCCAATGGCCTCTGGAGGATGGCGGCCACCGAGCCACCAGGGGGAAACAGGCGGAGGGACAGCACCCTTTCCCCCCTGGGGTGGCCCGGCAACAGTAACCTACTGCAGGGTCTGGACACATTTCTGCCAAAAGCCGCTGGGTTTCGAGATTTGTTTGAGTCTCTGGGATCAAGGCCATTAAGCAGCTTGATCAGGAGCCAGAGAGGCCATTCGTGGGCGATGACTTGGGGTCTCGTTGGGGAGGGGAGAATAGGCCCGGCTCCCCCCCTTCCCCCCATCCCATGAGGCCCAACAAGTTTCATCACTGCGGGCCCAAGCCTGACTGTCCAATGGCCTCTGGAGGATGATGGCCACAGAGCCGCCAAGAGGCAGCAGGTGGAGTGACAACACCCTTTCCTCCCTGGGGTGGCCCGGCGACAGTAACGTACTGTGGGGACCGGACGCATTTCTGCCAAAAGCCACTGGGTTTTGAGATTTGTTTCTGAGTCTCTGGGATCATGGCCTTTAAGCAGCTGGATCAGGAGCCAGAGAGGCCATTCGTGGGCGATGACTTGGGGTCTCATTGGGGTGGGGAGGACAAGCCCGGCTCCACCCCCATCCCGTGAGGCCCTGTGTCTTGTCTCTGGGGGCCCAAACCTGACTATCCAGTGGCCTCTGGACGTTGGCAGCCACTCAGCCGCCAGGGGGGAACAGGTCAAGGCACGAAACCTATTCCCAACTGGGTTGGCCCAGCACCGGTAACCTACTGCAGGGACCGGACGCATTTCTACCTAAAGCCGCTGGTTTCCAAGATTCGTTTCTGAGTCTCTGGGATCATGGCCATTAAGCAATTCAATCAGGAACCAGAGAGGCAATGCCTCCAATTATATAGCTGAGCCGGAGGTGGTTTGTGGGTGTGTTTCCCACATACCTAACTTTTGGCCGTTTACTTTCTTGGTAAACTTTGCCCCAAGTTTTTGGGGTCTGGCCAAAGGCACAGCAGCAATTTTGGGGTATCTGGAAGTCTGAAGGTGTCATCAGGCTGCTGATGCACTCGCCTCACAGGTACAGATTGACCTGCTGGCGGCACCATACCCCCTCATTCTTTCTTTTCCTCTCTTCTTTAACAGCCAGGTCTATGCTGAAACCTGATACAAACAGAAGGATGGCATTAAGGCAATAGTCCACAGAAGAGAGTATTTCTAGGAGTAAAGAGGAATCAAGAAATGCTGCAGCTGGAGCAATAGCACAGCGGGTAGGGCATTTGCTTTGCACGTGGCCAACCTGGGTTCGATTCCCAGCATCCCATATGATACCCTGAGCACGGCCAGGGGTAATTCCTGAGTGCAGAGCCAGGAGTAACCCCTGTGCATCGTCAGGTGCGACCCAAAAAGAAAAAAAAAATACTGCTGAGCTGAAGCGATAGTATAGCAGGGAGGGCGTTTGCCTTGCACACTGCCAATCCAAGTTCAATCCCCAGCATCCCATATGGTCCCCCAAGCACCACCAGGAGTAATTCCTGAGTGCAGAGCCAGGAGTAACCCCTAAGCATTGCTGAGTGTGACCCAAAAAGAAAAAAAGGAAAAAAAAGTTGCATAGGGAATGGAGAGATAGTACAGCGGGTAGGGCATTTGCCTGGGATCAAACCCGAAACAGATAAGTTCTTCTGTGTCCCGCCAGGGGTGATCTCTTAGCACAGAGCAGGAGTAAGCCCTGAGCACCACCGGATGTGTCCCCTCCCCCCAAAAAAGAGCTGCATAGAAGAGACATCTGGACTGACACTTATTATTAATACTCAGAATGCTATTTACACGAGATTGGGAGGCTAGCCCGCACATGCATAAACCTGACTTGCCTTGCCTCTCCTATGAGAATACTTTTCCCCTCGGTGGAGATCGGGCTGCTGTCCTCCAGAAGTTTCTGTAGAGGGTTGTTATACCTGAATTCAGGGGAAGCCTGAGTCCATGTAGATCTCTCCATGAACACACTCTTCAATCCACCCTCTCCCCTGTTGTTTCCAAATAAACATAGTTGATTGTTGGAATGACAGCCGGCTCCCTCCCCACCCCCACCCTAGAGCTGGGGATGGAACTAGGACCTTGCATATACAAGGCCAGGACTCTACCACAGAGCGCCATCCACACTCATCAGGGTGGAACAGGTGATGGGGATGAGGGTGTGTTGAAGGGAGAAGACTGAGGCCGGTGGGAGAGGGTACCCCTGTGGCAAAGTCTAGTAGAAAAGCAGGACAGCATTGAGGGGTGGGATGAAGTCTGAAGTCATGGAGTGAGAGTGATAAGAGAGACAGTAGCTCACACGGAGACGTATGAGATTCGTGCACCTCTTGGGGACATAGGGAACCACGGAGAACTGGAAGCAGGGCAAGGACAGAGGGTGTATTGGATCTGCAGCATTCGTGGAAGCAATCTTCACGCTGTGCCTTAAAGTGGCAGCCCTGGCTGGGAACACTGTATTCTGTTCTTGGGACATTAACACATGAGGGGTTGAAGGAGTGGGGGTGTAAGAAGGAATTGGCACTGCTGTGCCCCAGAAAGGGATATTCAGGGAACCAAAAGCAAGTACGTGTTTTCAGAAGCCTACTGGCACCAGCTAGCTGGAACCATGGGGTAGAAATTTCAGGAAGGAAGATTTTCTCCCTCTCAGCAAAAAATTTCTCCAAGGCCCACAGCTGCTATGGAAGGATCACCACAGTCCCGTTCCAACCACCATTCCCATAGCCCACTCACGTTGTGGACTCCGCACAATCAATACTGGGATCATGCAAGAAAGGGAACATTTTGATAGTGCCTGGTGGTGCCAACCCAGACAGCCTGTTGTTGTCTCTGGGGGCTCCAAGTCAGCAAGATTGTGGACCAGGCACAAGCCAGGCTCCTGTGAGCACAAAAAGAGCCTCAGAGAACGCCGTGGGAGAGAACAATCTTGAGCTGGGGCTTAACATCAGAGCGCGGTGCCGGGGAAAGTCAGAGTAATGGGATTCCCGGGAGGTTGGACGTCAGCAAAGGAGCAGAAGCAAGGGGCTGCGGAGCTGCAGACAGTTGGGGGAGCTGGCCAAGAGGCTGCGAGGCTGCAAGGCTGCAAAGCTGTGCTCTTGAACTGAATAAGTGGCCACAGAAGGGGGAAGCGTCGGAGGAGCTCGGAGGACCATATGGGATGCTGGGAATCGAACCCGGGTCGGCCGCGTGCAAGGCAAACGCCCTACCCGCTGTGCTATCGCTCTAGCCCCTGCCGGTGGGTTTTATTCCTTGGTGGGGGGTAGAGCAGAGGGGACGGGTCCCAGCCAGCGCCCGGCCTGCTGTACTATCCCCCGCAACTTGTTGTAGGTAAGCAGATAACTAAGGGGAAACTTCAGTCTAGCTGCAGGGACGCGGCCTCAGATGATGACTGATGAGCTGTTTTTCCGGCCACAGACGCAGAGGGAGAGGACAGCGTGGGCAGATGCAGAAGGGGACGGTACCCGGGCGGGGCGTTAGCAAGATGAGATAAGCGTCTGGAGCCTAGTCAGGCGGCCCGGGGCGGCCAGGACGCGCGCGGCACGCCCGCAGTGCGCATGCGCCCAGCGGGAGGCCGGCGCCGGGGCGCGCATGCGCAACGCGCGCTCGCTCGGGAGTGGCCACACCCCGCGCATGCGCCTAGGGTTGGCGGGAGTTGAGATTCTTAGTTGGCGGCGCTTCCCCGCAGACTGCGGAGGTTGCGCCCGGCGGGACTCTTGAGGCGCCACCACGGAGGCTCGGGGAAGCGAGAGACCCCGCGAGCGCGCGCGCCTTGCTTTTCGCGGACGGAGCCTCGGGCCGGGGTCTCCTTGAAGTCCGGAAGTCGCGGGCCTTGGCAACTGGGGGCGGCCCCGCCCACTCCCGCACCTGCCTCTTGGCGGGGGGGACGCTCGCCTCAGCCTCCCGGGACCGGCCGCCGCCCGCTCCTGGGTGAGAGGAAGCCCGAGGCGGGCCGCGCCTCAGAGCCGGGCCCGAGGGTGCCGACCCCGCGCGCGCGTCCCGGGCTCCGGGTGGTGGTCGGAGGCTGAGGGCGGGTCTGGCCGGGCCCCGTCGCGCGGCCAGCTTGCTTGGGGTCAGGGACCCTCGCTGCTCCGAAACCGACTTCTCCTAGGTGCCAGGTGGAGTCAGTGAGGGAACTTGGGTGGGGGCTTGTGGCACGGACGACCGTCACCTTGAGCTCAGTTGGTGATGCCGAGGAAGCGCTTTCCGCCCTTCTGCGCCGAGAAGCTCGTCTCTTTGGTTTGTGTTTTGGGCTACACCCGGCGGCGGTGCTTAGGGACCCCTCCTGGCGGGTTTCGGGAGACCCTCTGGGGGATGGAACCCGGCTCGGCTGCTGCCGGGCGAGCACCTTTTCCCGCGGTCCTGCCGCTCCCGCCCCTCCATCCCTGCACAGGCTCTGGCCGGCAATAAGCGCTTCCTGAGTCTCTGCTTGTATTCCGCCTGTGTCAGTGCTGACGTCGGGTGTGTGGGGCGTTAGTTCCATGGCCTCCTGCGGCTGGTGCCTATTTTTGGTCTTGCTCCTCCACACTTAGAGTCATAACTCTCCACTATGTCCTCCCAGAGAAGAGGTTTCTCCTGAGAGGAGTGAGTCGGCGTGAAAGATGTGGCGATGCCTACACAACTGCTCCTGCCCACCTGTCTTTGGAAGATTCCAATTCGGTCTCTCTGGGGACACAGACCTCTAATCGGACTTAATCCGTCAGCGAGAGACCCAGGGTTGGAGTGGTCTGTGGTAGCAAAACAGGGTTGGAGAAAGCATCACATTTAAACTACTAAATTGGAAAGTGTGTGTGTGTGTGTGTGGTGGGGGAGGGGTGTGATCTGTTTTGCAGCAGCTGGTGCAAAAAATTCGAAAGTGGCATGAGAAGTGTGTGAGACAGGGCAGGAATTGGGAGGTTGGAAGTAACTGGTGAGAAGGGCAGAATATACCAGCAAACAGTTGTTGTTTGGAGAGGAGCAAATGCTGGATGGAGGAAAATTTGAGTGTTTATTGTCCCGATAGAGGTGGTAGAATTTGCGAGACCTGAATAGGATTGGTAACCTGGAAATGGAAAAGTCACTTAGACTGTTGGAGATAGAAAGGACAGTACTTTTGAGCTGGAGAGTTAAGAAGTCAAGATGATGTAATTTTTCTTAGTTTGGAAGGCTAGCACATAATGCTGTCAACTGAGTTAGGGAATTTCCTGGGTCAACAAAGTAATTGGGAAGATAGGTTAAGGGAGATATGAGTATTGCAGTAAATTGCACAAAAATTCAGAATAAAAGGTGCTGTCCCTGCTGATTTCCATGGAGAAGGTAGGTGGGGTGGGATTTGGGTTGGGCTTTGTCAAGTCGGAAAGATTTCGGGGGACTGGAATGAGCAGTTCAGAGGACCCAGAAATCTCGATCTTTAATAAATAGTCTTGAGACCCCTTAGTCTTGGCTAGGGCCGAAATATGTACAATATCACCCGTTGTTCTATTTTCAGGGTCTCCTACCCAGAGGATGACTTCCATGGCAGAGTCAGAAACTATAAAAGGTGAGTATTGTAGGAATATCTGAGCGTTCTACCTCTCAATCAATTTTAGGTTTCTAGTTAATGCTTTCCTAGGTCCTGGTGGATTTTTAATCATATTGACTTACTTGCAGAGATGCTTCTAGAGTGTTTCCTTGATCTGGGGGATACATTTTCTCTTTCCACCTTTGTAATACAGATACTTAGTTGTGGTGGGTTTGATTCTGTATTTTGACTTTTTTATAACAAGTACTGGAAGAGGAACCAATGACATCTAAGACTCATGATCAACAATTGGAATCAAATCCCCACCCTGTGGAAGTGTGTAAACCGTCTACCTCATTGGAGATGACTGAAGGCGCTTCAAAGGGAAGAATTCCCCTTGATTCTAGCCCTAAAGCTGGGGGACATTGTGATCTGAACCTCCTGGAGGAACTCCAGTCTGGATCCCTTCACTTGTCTCCCCAAATCCTTCATCAAGACAGGAGGCAGTCCTGGCGGCGAGCGAGTATGAAAGGCACGAACCGACGGAAGTCTCTTCCTCCCTTCCATCAGGGCATCACAGGTGGGGTGCTATGTACTAAGCTTGTGGAGATCCCGCTCAGATAAGAGGCAGTGAGGTCTGGAGGAAAGAGCACAATAGCAAACACATGACTTAGTGCATGACTGAGCAAATCGCTTCATCTCTCATTTTCCTTCTCTATAAGAGATACTCTAAGATGGCAGGTATTAATGAAAAGCATCTAGAAGTGTTTCATATTATTGCTATTTATATTGTTCCTTGCCTCTTGTCTTTTTGTTGTTGGTGGTGCTGTTGTTTGTTTTGGGGCCACACCCAGGGGTACTCAAGGCTTACTTTTGGCTCTGTTCTGAGGGATTACTCCTAGCTGTGCTCAGGGACCATAATGTGGTATTGGGGATCAACCCAGAGTCAACAGTGTGCAAGACAAAAGCTCCCTGCCCTCTGTATTATCTCTCTGGCCCCATATTTATTTTTATTTATTTTGATTTTGGGACCATAGCTGGCTGTGCTCAAAGCATACTCCTGGCTCTTTACTCAAGAATCCTCCTGACTCCATGCTTAGAGTACCGAATGGGGTTCCAGGGATTGAACCCAGGTTGGCTGTGTGCAAGGCACATACCCTATCCACTGTCCTGTTGCTTGAACCCCATACTTAAACGGTACTGTGTGACTTCTGTATCTCGAAGGAAATCTGTCTAAAAACAGTCACGTGGGGCTGGAGAGATGAAGGCCAGAATATGTGCTTTGCATGTGGGAGGCCTGGGTTTGATTGCTTACTCCTGCTTCTGTTCTTAGGGATTCTGGTGGGGCTCTGGGAATCATAGGGGTGCCAGGGTTTGAACCCAGATAGATTGTGTGCAAGGCAAGTATCCAATCTGCTGGACTGTCTGTTGTTTGGGCTTGGAAACTGTCTACATTTGTAGTCGTTTGAGAATTCAATGGCAACAGATAAAATGCTCATTCAGAGGCAGGGGAGAGAGCTCGATGGCTGAGCAGTGCTTTCATGCAGAAGTTTGGGTTTCCTGATCCCTGGCACTGCATGGTCTCTCACCACAGAGCCAGAAGTAGCCCCTGAGCACTGCTGGGTGTGACTCAAAAAAAAAACCACAATAAAGTAATATTCAGTTTAGACTCACTCATGGTATGACCTTGGGCAACCTTGGGCAAGTGACCCAGACCCCAGCCTTTCTGCCTCTGTGCCTTCATCTGTAAAATGGATCTGCTAAGATATGTGCCAAAAAAGTGTTAATGAAATATGTGTAGCATATAATAAAATAACCTTTAATTTATAATTTTTGTTTGTTTTGTGCCCTACCCAGCAAAGCTTAGTGCGTACTCCTGGTTCTGTGCGAAGGAATCACTCCTGGCTGTGCTTGGGGGGTGATATGGGATTCTGGGAATTAAAGCAAAGCAACCACCTTACCCACTGTACTTGTTCTCAGACCCCATAGTAAAAATATAGCAAATGTTTGACAAAATTACTATTAATGTTATTAAGTCATTTGTTAAGAGGAAACATGGTGTTGGTAGGAAAAACACAGATTTTGGTGAGACTTGCGCTTATATTCCAGTTCTACCAATTTTTGACCAGACAAGTCATCTCTCTGAACTCTGATTTCCTTCTCTGACAGTGTTATTTATTGTTTGCTTATTGAAGGGAAGCCTCAGGGTCCCAGTACTCCCTGCGGTGTGTAGTAGGGCATGTGGTATTGGGAATGGAATCTAGGTCTTTGTGGCATGTTCCAGCCCTTTGAGCCAACTTGGCCTCTTGGTGCAATGTCACAGCATGCTGGAATGTGTCATAAAGGTCTTTATCTATTTGTTTAATAGGACAAGATTGAATGCAGTACACAAATAGTCTTATACCTTCTTAAAGCTGACATAAAACATCATTCAGGGGGGGCTGGAGCGATAGCACAGCGGGTAGCGCATTTGCCTTGCACACGGCCAACCTGGGTTCGGTTTCCAGCATCCCATATGGTCCCCCGAGCACTGCCAGGAGTAACCCTTGAGCATCACTGGGTGTGACCTAAAAAGCAAAAAATAAATAAAAATATCATTCCTTGGCAAGCCTGGAAAAATAGGTGTGATTATATAAATAGTGTTTTCCATCTTTTTCTAACCATCACCCTTTCCACACTTGTTTTCTTCCTGAGTCCCCTCTCCTACTAGCTGGCCCTCTAGTCTAGTGCTGTGACTCCCGTTTACACAGTTTTTACTTGTGGACCCTTTGGAAGAGCCTAATGGCCCTAGGGAATGGCCTCTGGTTAAGAAATGCTATATATGAATTTCCCCTTAAATTATAAAGGCTTGCAGCATTAAGTCGGATTGTGTTATGAGGTAGGAAAGTTTATTACTTTGCTTCTAATTATGCTTCTAAATGGTGATATTTTATGTTAGAGCTCAGCAGATCCATCAGTGTCAACTTAACAGAAAGCAAACGGCTTGGTGTTCTCCTGCTCTCCAGTTTCCAGGTAAGGTTCTGTGGACTGGGAATCTTTACCCCCCCCCCCCCCAGCCCCCATCCTCCCCTTCTTTCATTGTTTTTTTTTTTCTGTCCTCCCCTCCCCTCCCCTCCCCTCCCCTCCCCTCCCCTCCCCTCCCTTCCCTTCCCCCACACCTGGAGGTGCTCAGGAATTACTCCTGGCTCTTCACTCAGGAATTACTTCTGCCAGTTCTCGGGACCATATGGGATGCTGGGAATTGAACCTGGGGCAGCCTTAGTTGAGACAAGTGCCTTGCCGCTGTGCTATCTCTCCAGCTTTCTCATCGTTTTTTTGATCCACACCTGGCAGTGCTCAGGGCTTACTCCTGGCTCTGTGCTCAGGGACCATATGTGGTACCCAGTATTTGGGGCCCAGACAAAGCAAGCGTTACCTCCTGTATTGTCTATTTGTCCTTGATTTGTTGTTGTTCTTGTTTTTTGTTTTGTTTTGTTTTGTTTTTGGTTCACATCCTGTGATGCTCAGGGTTAATTCCTGGCTGTGTACTCAAGAATCACTCCTGGCATGGCTCAGGGAACCATATGTGGTGTTAGGGATCCAACCTAGTTTGGCAGCTTGCAAGACAAACCAAACACCCTACCTGCTGTACTATCTCTTCAGCCCATGGTGGTTTTTGTTGTTGTTGTTGTTGTTGTTGTTTTTACTGTAGCTGTGACAGTCCTAAAGAGAGGTCAGTACTGAGTCATGTTTCTGTTAAGATGCAGATATTTCTCTCTAGTTGGAATTAATTTAGAAACCTGATATAATCCCAGCAGTTGGTTTCTTTTTGGATTGGGCTTTTTACCAATCATGTTGGTGCTGCCGCTAACCGTTCAGTTAATTAAGATTTTCCCAATCACTGGTGAAGGTACGGGTGCTTCATTGTATGACCGAGACTTAAACCCAAAAGCTTTGTAACTGCTCTCATGGTGATTCAATAAATAAAATTATAAAAAAGTTTTTTAAAAAGTAAGGTGGAGTTTATGCCCAATTCAATCAGCTAATCAGTGGCTGAATAAATAGCAGTACCCCTACATTAAAAAAAAAAAAGATGTCCCCAATCTAGTTTCTTATACCCTGGACTGCAGTTAATGGCTAGTGGGGAGGGACTAGGGAGAGTTCTGTGTTCTGGAGTGCATATTTTGCTGCCAGGAGCTCCCAGGTGTGTCACCAGAGTGTTTCTCAACCACTGATCCAAGAATAGGCCTCCCCACTACCAGCACCACCAGGTATGGTCCCAGAACCAAAACATCAAAAGTGGGTGGAGGGCCAAGCGTAGTATAGTGGGTAAGGTGTTCGCCTTATACACAACTGATCTGGGCTTGATCCTTGACACTTCATATTGTCCCTTGAGCACTGCCAGGAGTGATCCCTGAGTGCAAAGCCAGGAATAAACTTGAGCATTGCTGGATGTAGTCAAAAACCAAAACTAACAAAAAAGTGGGTGGAGATTAAAGTTTACATTGATATTTGATTCCTCACTTATTAAGTAAATAAAGCTCAAACATATAGCTTTTTGTTGTTGTTTTGGTTTTGGGCCACATGCCTAGAAGCAAGCCCCGAGCACTGCCAGGTATGGCCCAAAAATTAAAAAAAAAAAAATTGTGTAGTATAATAATGATAATTGTGATATCAGTTTAGACAAGACAGCAAATCATTGTATAAATTATCAGTTTTTCCCAGAATCAAAAATCAAGTTATATATAGTCTGAATCAATTTTTTTTTTTTTTTTTTTGCTTTTTGGGTCACACCCAGCGATGCTCAGAAGTTGCTCCTGGCTCTTCACTCAGGAATTACTCCTGTGGTGCTGGGGGACCATATGGGATGCCGGGAATTGAACCTGGGTCAGCTGCGTGCAAGGCAAACCCCCTACCCACTGTGTTATCACTCTGGCCCTGAATCAAAGTTTTGTTCTGATCTGTTTATGTGAAAAATTTGTTTGTTTTTAATTTGGGCCATATCTGGCAGTACTCGGTTTATTCCTGGCTTAGTGCTTATGGGACCACATCGTACCAGGGCTCAAAGCCAGTCCTCCTACATGCACAGCATGTGTTCCAGTCCTTTTTGCAGTCTCCCCATATATAAAAAATGCTAAGTTTAAAATAAAATCAGGGATATTTTAGCTCCACACCAGACAGGATTAGCTCTAAAACAAGGGATCATGTTTATATATGTTTACATTTATTAAACACTAGAAATTATATGAACTCAGAACTGTCTTGGAAAATATTTATTGTCATACTGAAAATGCTTCTTTTAATTTAGTTTTCTGCACAGAAACTTGAGCCTTTCTTAAAGGACACTAAGGACTTCAATCTCGAAAGATTCAGAGCCAAAGGTAAATTGCATAAATGTGTGTAAGTGGTGCTGTTGTTAGGGGTCACAGATGCACCACTCCTATGCTCCCCATTTATAAAGTGCCACTGCCTCACAAAACTGGCACTCCTCTTTTGAGAGGGGATTGCATTCAGAACATTTGAATATCTGCTTATTTAGTTCAGATGGGGTGAAAGTGGAAAGTAGGCCTCCTTCCCACCCCAGCTCCCTTCTCAGTTCCTCCCTCTTATCACCCACAGATACCATCTTCTCTAGCCTTGTGGAGGATATTTATTACATTTCTAAACATTTTCTTCACGAATCACGACCATCCTGTTATTCGTCGATTGCCTCGAGCAGGCCCCAGTAACGTCTCCTTCATCCTAGCCCTGAGATTATATTCAAGGCTCTTTAGGAGAATGAGACCCATCATTGTTACTGGTATTTGGCATATTGGGTACGCCACGGGGAGTTTGCCAGATTCTGCCGTGTGGGCAGACTACTTTCGGTAGCCTGCCAGTTTGTCCAAAGTAGGAATGACATAATATGATGTCATAATAAGATGTGGCGCAGCTGCATTCGCTGATTCCGGGAGCTGATTTTTATAGTCTCTGACCCTGGCCTACTGGAATTTGGAGGATCTGGGTGGAGGATGGTCGGCCCCAATCCGAGTAGGCTTGGAGATCTCGGCCCCGGAACGCGTGTGGCTTTGTCCCTCTGCCAGTACCTTCATGTGTGCGGAGAGTGGTCTCAGCATGGTGATGGCTGGTCCTGGAGGTCTTCGGTTGCCGGAGCCCTGGTCGGGGCGGGGAGGAAAGCTCAACCCACTTCCCTCCAAGGGGCCCCCGGCGAGGACAGTCAGGCGCGGGGGCAGGAGACTGCACTGTTCTCTTCCGGGAGCTGGTTTTTATAGTCTCTGAGTCTTGGCCGCTGATGGGATTACACGGCGCCAGGGGGCCAGTTGGTGGGTGTGACCCCGGCCTACTGGAATTCGGAGGATCTGGGTGGAGGATGCTCGGCCCCAATCCGAGTAGGCTTGGTACATTTTCTTAAAATTTTAATTTTTTCCAAGTTTTATCAAAGCACTGTGAGCTACAAAGTTATTCATAGTTGGGTTTTTGACACACAGTGTCCCATTACGGATGCTACCACCAGGGTCAACCTTCCCTCCACCATGTTCCCAGGTTCCCTCTCCTGCCTCACCCCTCCAAAGCTCTAGCTCCAGCCTGCCATCTTGACAGACCCCTTAAAAGTTTGGGTCTTGTGATTTCAGTGTCATTGATTCTGTGGTTTGAATATTTAATTCTGTCATTCCTTAATACCACCGACGTACCTGAATCCCCTTGGCCCCTGCCCCATTGTTCTCATGTTTCTCTTAGAATTGGATTATCATCAAGTAGATGTGCCAAGGTTATCTTGATATCTTGATAACTGTTTTATATCCTTTCTCCTCTAAATTCCTTACCTCTGTGATTTCCCAGATCTAAGCAGAACGATTTTAACCTATGCCCGTAATTCTTTGTCTCCTCGTTCCTTATTTCTGACTTTTTCCATTACATTCTTTCTTGGTGCCTGACTTCTTTTTTGGTTTTTGTTTGTCTGTTTTTGTTGTTCTTTGTCCACACCCAGCAATGCTTAGAGATTACTCCTGGTTTGTACTCAGGGCTCAGAAATCACTTCTGGTGATGCTTGGGGGACCATGTAGGGTGCTGGGGATTGAACTCAGGTCAGCCATGTGCAAGGCAAGTACTCTGCCCACTGTATATCTCTCCCAGGGTACCTGTCTTTTTTATGTACTTTCTAGTGAAGGCAGTTCAAATCTCTAGAAGAGAATGAAATACCTGGGCTGGGAAGAAAGCTCAAAGGACTGGAACATATAGCTTGCATATGTTGAGCCCAGTGTTTGATCCCCAGCACTATGTGGTTATCTGAGCTCCAGTGGGAGCAACCCGTGAGCACCACACTAGCGGTAGTTCCCAAGGTCTGCCAGGTACAGCCCAAAAACAAGTAGCAAAGCACAAAAAGAGTGAAAAGTCTGACTGGATATGTTGCAGTGGTGAAGCACTTGTCTGAGTCTGATACTTGGAATCAAAAGGAATAAAATGTTAATGTAGGTATTATTTTATTTTTATGGGGACCACATGAGGTTATTGGGGTGGGGGTAATGTGGATACTCTCCCCCCACCCCCCAAAATACTGTGATTAAAAGAAGTTACTTGGTTTTGAGTTTTGGGTTTTTTTCTGGGACCCTGGCAGTGCTCAGGGCTTACTCATTGCTGTGTGCTCAGGGATAGCTCCTGGTGATCCTTGAGGGATCATTCATGGTGTTGGGGATTAAACCAGGGGTGGCTACATGGAAGTTAAGTGTCTTGCTCAGGGTTTACTCCTTGCTCAGCGCTCAGGAATTTCTTCTGGCAGTGTTCAGGGAATCAGATGGTATTCTCGGGATTGAACCTGGGTAGACTGCATGCAAGGAGAGCACCTTATTTGCTATACTGTCTCTCCAGCTAGAACGCAAGAGTCTTAACCCCTGTATTATCTCCAGCCCCAAAAGAACTTATAAAGGGCCAGAAATGTGGCTTAGTGATAGAACACACACCTGTATGTTTGCTTCCCTGGAGGTCACTTAATCACTTAACTTCCCGTTAGTCGTCGATTTGCTTGAGCGGGCGCCAGTAACGTCTCCATTTGTCCCTGTCGCGTGCTAGTGTAGCCCAATGGTATCTCTTCGCTCCGGGAACATGGAGGGCCTCAAACCGATCGTTCATGATCTTGACAAAGAAGTCTGACCATCTGGTAGGTGGGCAGCCACGCGGTCTCTTGACATCCCGTGGAATCCAATCAGTAACAGCTCTAGTCCAACGGTCGTCTTTAAATCTCATTACGTGACCAGCCCATCTGATTTTCGACACCTTGGCATATGAGACAGCGTCCCTGATCCTTGATCGTCGACGGATGTCAGAACTCCGGATTCGTTCTCTCATTTGAGTGAAACGTGATATTCCAAGCATAGCTCTTTCTATTCTTCTTTGGGAGACCTGAATGGCGTTCTCATCTTGTTTGCGTAGGGCCCAGGTCTCTGAGGCATATGTTAATGCAGGAAGAACAGTGGAATCAAAGAGATGTGCCCGGAGCCGGAGGTTCTTCGTCCTCTTAGCTATTTCTTCGACGTTCTTGAAGGCGTTCCAAGCCGCTCTCTTCCTCCTGCTCAGCTCGGGTGCCAGGTCATTTCTCATGTTGACCTCTCGACCTAGGTAGACATAGCTGTTGCATTCGGAGATGGTCGTTCCATTGAGAGCGAATGGGGCGTCAGGAACAAGGCTGTTTCTCATAAACATTGTCTTCGTAAGATTCAGCTGTAGTCCTACCTTTCCACACTCACGGTCAAAGTCGGCCAGCATTTGTGCCGCTTGGCTGATGTTTGGTGTTATTAAAACAATGTCATCAGCAAAGCGGAGGTGGTGTAGTTGCCGACCATCTATCTTCACTCCCATTCCTTCCCATTCCAGTCGTCGCATGATGTTCTCGAGGGTGGCACTGAAGAGTTTTGGTGAAATGGTATCATCCTGCCGCACCCCTCTCTTGATATCAACGATCACTTCTTTGTAGAATGGTGAGATCCTGGTAGTGAATCCGCAATACAGCTCACGGAGGATCCTGATGTACTGGGCTTGAATGCCCTGATTGGCTAGGGCTTCAATGACCGCTTCCGTCTCAACAGAATCAAAGGCCTTCTTTAAATCAATGAACGTTAAGCAGAGCGGCATCTTGAACTCCCGAGAAACCTCAATGAGCTTGGTTACCGTGTGGATATGGTCGATGGTGCTGAATCCTTTGCGGAACCCTGCTTGCTCGCATGGTTGTCCTTCATCTAGTGTTCTGCCAATCCTATTCAGGATGACTCGAGTGAACAGCTTGTAGATGACAGACAATAGGCAGATCGGGCGATAGTTGCCAATGTCATGGATGTCTCCCTTCTTGAACAGTAGTACGGTCCTGCTGGTTTTCCATTGGGACGGAACCTTGCATTCAGACAGGTAGCGAGTGAAGAGCCGAGCCAGTGTATTGATGAGTACTAACGGCAGGTTCTTCAGGTGTTCAGGTCTGACCTTGTCTGGGCCGGGTGCTGTTTGCTTCTTTACCAACGAAATGGCGTGTCGGATTTCGGAAGGGAGAACGTTAGGAACGACATACCCATCCTGTGGAATTTGGTATGTCGGCAAGTGGACATGGCTATCGAAGAGATTTGAGTAGAAGTCATGGATAATCTTCTCCATTGCCGTTCTGGAGGATGTGATGGATCCATCAGGACGTCGGAGGGCAGTCATCTTGGTCTTATAGTTGGCGAAGGACAGGCGGGCGTTACGAATACTTTTCCCGGCTTCTGCCGCATCTACCAGTACTTCTGCTCTTCTCTCTTTGAGGTCTTCCTTGATCGCATCTCTGCACTGCTTTGCAAGCTCGGACGTTAGCTTGCGGTTGCCTGAGGCATGCGCCAAACCACGCTGGCGAATTAGCTCAAGAGTTTTCGAAGATAGGCGACTTTTTGTGGCTATCTCTCTCTTGGCGTTCCTCGCACATTCATGGAGGTGCTGAACCAGTCGATCGTATTCCTCGTCAATGTTGTCAACAATGGCATCTTCCCATGTTGCCGCAATAGTACCAAAGAGTTCCCAGTTGGTGGTCATTCTGGGAGTTCTCTTTTTGAACTTTGCAGCCCTTTCTCCCCGCTCTGTGAAGTAGAATTTTGCACGAAGGAGACGGTGGTCCGATCCCGTTCGAAATTTTGGGACAACAGCGACATCAGTCAGGCAAAACCGTCGATTGAATATGATGTGGTCTATTTCGTTGTGGAATCGTCCACCGGGAGACTCCCATGTCCATCGTTTAGATTCTGCCTTCTGGAACTGTGAGTTACCATGAATGGTCTTGGTCGACATGATGAACTCAGACAGTCTCTCACCCTGTTCGTTCCATTCTAGGCCATGGGTCCCGATGTGAAGTTCTTCAGCTGATCTTCTCGGTCCTATGTTGGCATTAAAATCACCCACAATGATCTTGTAGAAGGTGTGGTCTTCTTTATAGAACTTCTCCAGCTCCATGTAGAACTTCTCGATTTCTCTTTCATCATAATGAGATGTTGGTGCGTAGACAACGAAGATAGAAACTGCAGGCAGTGAGCCACATCTATTCAAATGTAAACGTCCGATTCGGGTTGTTAGGCATTCGAATGAATCAATGCTCTTGGCCAAGTTTGTGTTGACAAGGACACCGACGCCTCCAACACCTCTTTTATCGCATGTTCCGAGGAACAATTCTTCTCCGGTGTCGAAAACGGCATGGTGAGATTCGTGCCTTCTTGTCTCGGTCAGACCAATGATGTCGTACTTGATCATTCGCGCTTGTACCATCAGGTCCTCGATGGATGCATCTGATGCTAGCGTACGTGCATTGAAAGTACAGACGATCATTTTTGTCTTCCTTCGTTGTGGCAGCCTAGGTCGGCCTTGAGATTTTGTCGGCCTCTCCTTTCTCATCCTTCTCAGTGCTGCCATGTCGGTGAAGCCTTCAGGGTCAGGTGAATGAGACCAGTTGTAGTTACTGGTTTTGGCATATCGAATACACAGCGGATAGCTTGCCAGGCTCTTCCGTGTGGGCGGAATACTCTCGGTAGCTTGCCAGTCTTTCCGAGAGGTATAGAGGCTTTTGGGGTGACCTCTAATCACCCTTGTAGGTGTTACCATATTTGAACCCTATCAAATATGGTACGACAATTCCAGAAGATGGGTATTTAGTGTTTTATGATGTGTCGCGCGGCCACAAGCGGCCGAGCGGGTCCGGAAAGCGTCCTGGAGTGTGGCGACGGCTGGGTAGTGGAAGTAGTGTCGAGAGTGGAAATCTGCCAGTGGGGTATTTATCTGGGTAGGGTGGGTCTCCTGTGCACAGTTCGATCCCTGGGTAGTTGATGGAAGCAGACAGGGCAGGGTAGGGTGGGGCTCCTGATTAGAATCCCTTTGTCACCTGTGGTGGTGGGAGCAAGCAGAGAAGCTCTGTCCCTGGGTCCGCCGAGCCTGGAGTCCAAGGTCTCAGAGAGTTCCACTTATCTTGTTCTGTGGGTCTTCAGTTGTGCGTGGGTCTCGGCCGGAGCTGCCGCGCGGGTCCGGAAAGCGTCCTGGAGTGTGGCGACGGCTGGGTAGTGGAAGTAGTGTCCCTGGAGGTATGTTTCATATTTTGGATGTAATCTCTGGCACTGCAGTGGGGGGTGGAGGTGGGGTGTATGTGTATATGTGTGTAGGGGACATATCATAAAGAGGGATTTCTTCCATTGTATTTCTGTCTGTCCAAAGGAAATAGGTAAAATCCTCATTATTTATATTCCAGTCCCTCCGGTTTCCCCTCTCCTTCATTGTGGTTATCCATGTTACTGAGATGATAGGACTTGCATACATTGACATGACTTTTAGCTGTAGTGCTCATGCAGTTTCTTTTTGGCTGTGCTCACCAGGGACCATAGCACAGGCTGCAGTCCCTGCACTGTGAGCCTCAGTGTTTGCCGAGGTTTGCAGTCCTTTTGTGCTTGCACATGTACTTGCCAGGGGTCATACTATCAGTTGTGGCATACAAGTTATGTTGTGTGGGTGTCTCTGGAGGCCGCTGTGATGAGCAAAACCATGTTTGCAGATTGCCCTTCTTAGCTGTTGTGCTAACACATTTTATTCGTGGCAGGCAGGTGTCACACTTTTGGTGCCTTCACAAACATTGGCTAAGGGGCAGCCAGAAATTGCTTGTTGCACCAAGGATCACAAACAGTTGGGCTGCCAAGATTCTACTCAGTGCATGTGGGACATCAGGGGTCTGAGCTCCTGGCCTGTGTTTTCAGGACAGATGCTGTTAGTTCCTGCATGATTCTTTCTTTCTGCAAATTTATGGCACTTTTTTGAATGAATGAAAGGCCAAACTATTATAGAGAACACTGTATCACTGTCATCCTATTGTTCTACTCCAGCAGGCCCCAGTAACATCTCTATTCCTCCCAGTCCTGAGATTTTATCAGCTTCTTCTTACTTGTCTTTTCCCAACTATTGGAGGCCCTTTCAGGGTCACGGGAATGAAAACTATTGTCGTTACTGTATTTGGCATATTGAATACGCCACAGGGAGCTTGCCAGTCTCTGCCTGTGTGGGTGGGATACTCTCGGTAACTTGCTAGGCTCTCTGAGAGGCATAAATGGATAGGAAGTGTCTTATAATGTGTCATGCAGCCACAAAGCGGCCACAGAATCCAAAAAGCTGCCTGGAGTGTGGTGGTGGATGGGCAGTGGAGGTTGGCTGCTGAGGCTGGGTCCCTTGGAGTGGGGAGGGCTCTCACCCATCCCACAGCCTGGTGCGGAATTCTGGTGACATGGTTCTGGGAGCCTCCCTTTATACTCCCGTCTTTGAGGAGCATCCGTGAGTTCAGGAGGGTGGCCAATGAGATTATCTGGTGACAGCAGGGTGTGGCTTATGTGTGTGATCCCTGAGTCACCGGAGACTGGGGGGAAGCAGGCAGAGGATCTGTTTCGGGTCCTGTTGAGTCCAGAGACCAAGGTCACAAAGTTCTGCATTAGCTGGGTTCTGTGGGATTTCATAGAGAACCCTAGAGTATAGAATTGAGTATTATATCTTTGTCATTGGCTTGCTTTGAAATTTTTTTCATTATTTTTATAACAATTTTATTCTCTAGTATCCTCTGTTTCTGAAGAATTGAAACATTTTATAGACAGCTTGGAAAGTGATGGGACTCTACAAAAATGTTTTGAAGATTCAGAAGGGTAAGAACTGTTCCCTTTAAATTATAAATGAATTGTCTTTTATTTATTTATTTATTGTCTTTTTTTTTAATAGCCATTTACTTAGTAAACATTTCTGTATAGCATCTTCTTTGAATTAGGCTCTTTTCAATACTGGAGAGAACAGAATAAATCAGTAGTATTATATATATTTTTTAATTGATAAATATATAGAAAATAAGGATTTTAGACAATCAAAGAAGCTAGTAAATAGTGACTTGCGAGGGTGGGTAATTTTAAGGCGTTCCCAGTAACTGACCTTTCAACTGACTGCTATAAGATTGGAAGCTTGAAACAAAACCAGCCATAGGAAGATGGGAAAAAATACGTTCTTCAGACCTTTACTAAATTTGAAACCAGCCAATATTGTTTAATGTTGACAAGCAAGAATACTAGGAGAGGGACTGCAGTGATGGTACAGCAGATAGGACACTTGCCTTGTATGTATGTAGCTGATCTGGGCCTGCCTGAGTCCCCCCCCTGCAAAAAAGTTATAATGAATACTAAGAGAAATTTTCAAATACCACCTGCAGACTTCCAGTTCCTTTATAGGGCCTGGGCTCGATCCTCTTCCCCAATCTTCTGCTCACCAACAAACCATATTAGTTGAGTTAATGTCTTGAATATTTGAATTTTGACTTCACAAAATCTGATTTTTTCCATAGATCCTTAGAAATCACATTCCTTTTCAGAACATAAAAATTGTTTTAGATAACATGATATCCCTATGCATTAATAATGCAGGTTTTTAAGCCAAAGGCTGCTGCAAATCAGCTAAAGGTGTGTCACAGGCCTTGGTAGAAAAATGAAAGGTGACATCGCTAATAGATCTTCAGTACCTACTTCTTTTCCTTTAGAATTAATCACCCAGCTGAGTTTATATTGGTGTAAATATAACATAATCTCAGCCCATGGATGGATTCAGTTTAGGATTGAGATGCTATGTAAAGAGATTACTAGGCCTTAAAGTTGTTAAGGTTTTGATTAGTGGGAGAGTAGCACTGTAGCACTGTCCTCCCGTTGTTCATCAATTTGCTCGAGCGGGCCCAGTAACATCTCCATTGTGAGACTTGTTACTGTGTTTGGCATATCGAATACAGCACGGGGAGCTTGCCAGGCTTTGCCATGCGAGCGAGATACTCTTGGTAGCTTGCCGGGCTCTCCGAGAGGGGCAAAGGAATTGAACTCAGGTTGGCCAAGTCGGCCAAGTGCAAGGCAAACGCCCTACCCGCTGTGCTATCGCTCCAACCCAGTGGGAGAGTAAGAAACTAAAAAATTATATGAACAGGCATGGGATGTGGCTTAGGTGGGGTTGTGAGGTTATAAGTTCAAACCCTGGCACCACATGGTCCCCTGAGCTCTGCTGGGTTGTGGCTCCTATAAAAAGAAAAAATTGGTATGAATAGTAGTTTGGAGACCGAAAACCCCCAGGTATTTGAAATCCAGGCTAAATGGAATTAATGCAACTGCTAAAGAATAAAAAGAATCAGGGCCGGAGCAATAGTACAGCGGGTAGGATGCTTGCCTTGCTCATGGCCTATTTCGGTTTGTTCCTTCAGCATGCCATATGCTTCCTGAAGCACCACCAGGAGTGATTTCTGAGTGCAGAGCCAAGAGTAACCCCTGGGCATCATCAGGTGGTGTGACCCCCCCCTCCCAAAACAAACAAACATAAACTATAGTAAAAAGAATAATATGGGGCAGAAGAGATAGGTACAGCAGGGAGGGCACTTTCCTTGAATAGGGTTGACTTGGGTTCGGTCCCCAGCGCTCCATACGGTCGGTCTCTAGTATTGCCAGGAGTGATCCTATGTATAGAGCCAGGAGTGAGCCCAGAATACCACTGTGTATGGCACAAAAGAAAAAAAAAATGAAAAGAAATACAATATGGATCCGGAAAGATAGTACAGTGGGTGGGTAAGGCATTTGCCTTGCATGCAGCTGACTTGGGTTTAATCCCTGGAACTGCATATGGTTCCCTGAGCACCTCCAGGGGTGATTGCTAAGCACAGCTTGGTGTGACCCCCAAACAAAACAAAAAATAAAATTGATGGCCAGGAAAGAGTATAGAGGTACAGGTGCTTGCTTTGCATGAGACTCGCCTTGATTTTATTTTCTGTACTTTATATGGTCTCCTGAATATACTCGGGAGGGATCCCTGAGCACAGCTGGGTATGGCCCAAACCTCCCCTCTCTACCAACCTCCCCTCTCTACCAACCTCCCCTCTCCCCTCCCCCAAAGGGAAAGTTGATGAGCTGAATGGAACCAGAACAAGCCTTAAATGACTGGTTAAGGAAGGTTGACTTAATACAGAAAAACAGAATAGGGCTATGGGATGTCTAGGTAAGGAAAGAAAATTAGAGGACTATATAAGAAATATTAATGAGGTAAAATGAAAATGATAAGGAAATAATCTAAAGAGACTACTTAGTGTTACCTAATTGGGCTAAAGTAACAAGCGGGTAAGGCACTTCTCTTGCACGCTGCTGACCTGGGTTTGATCCCTGGTATACCGTGTGGTCCTGTGAGTACCACCAGGAGTAATTCCTGAGTACAGAACCAGGAGTAGTAATACCTGAATACTGCTGGGTGGAGTGGGAGGAAGGAAGGGAGGGAGGGAGGAAATGAAGGAAATAAGGAAGGAAATATTATCTAGGACAAAAGTGAGAATCCAAGAATAAATATTTTGGGGCCAGATAAGTAGTTCAGTGAGGTTTACATACAACTGACCCAGTTTTAGTCCCAGTCTTGCATATAGTCCCCCAAGCCCTGCCAGGTGTGGTCATTGAGTGCAGTGCCAGGACTAAGCCCTGAGTACAACTGGGTGTGTCCAATCCCTCACACACCAAAAGGTTTGATACTAATATTTCATAAGGTATCATATTGAAAGTAAGTGCTTCTTAAAAGATTTGTGTTAAGCTCAGACTTCTATCTGTATTACAGAAAAGTTCCAGATTTGTCTCTTGAAGCATCAGTGGCTGAGATGAAGGAATATATAACAAAGTAAGTGAAGTGAGTAAACTTTTGGTAGAAATGTAAGTTCATCTGCTAAGTCTGACAAAATCATCAATAAACATCTTGTTGAGAGTATTAATACCAGGGCCTGGAGGGATAGTTCAGGGGAAAGATTCAGCCTTGCATGGCTGACTGGGGTCTATCTCTGGTACCCCAAAGGATCTTCTTTGCCCTTCCAGGAGTGATCCCTGAGTACAGAGCTAGGAATAAGCCTTGAGCACTGCTAGGTATGGCCCCAAACAAACAACAGAATGTCAGTACCAATTTATGAACACTAGGAGTTGAAAAATTGAATGTTTGCACTTATTATGTTTTCTTGATGGCCAGTTCTATAGAATGCTTTCTAGGGCATAGGATGTTAATCGTATTTTAATAACTCATGTTTGGTTTGACCATTAATATCCTATGTTATCAGTCAGGCTACCTCATGCTTTAATGATGTTGATATTCACATTCCAAGATCTTGTATTTTTATTGTATTTTGTTATTGCCATGAGTGATTCAGAATGAGATGATAGAAAATTAACTTTTTTTCCCTCTGATTCTATAGATTTTCTTTGGAACAACAGACTTGGGATCAACTATTATTGCGTTATCAGAAGGAAGCTAAAGAGATAATATCCAGGTCAGATTTATCACTGGAAATAGGAAACTCTCTTGAACTTGTAGAGTTGTACTTGAATTGCTTTTTCTTAGCACAAAGGGAATGAGGACTTCTTTCTCATAGATCATTCAGGTCGTCAAAGCTCTGTGAAGGATGGATTTATGCTTTGTAAATGAAGAATGACAGGAGGGGAGAGAGAGTTGGTGTCACTATTTTTAGTCAGAACAGAATTGCCTCTGTTTTGTATCTTTGGCTATTATTATTCTGCATCCTGTGGGAGATAGGCAGGACTCTGCCCTGAACCAGCAACATGGGACTGGGCCAGGAACAGTGGGCAAGAGACGTCAGTTTCAGATGCTCGGACAGTTCCTGTCATGCTTTTCTGGAGATACCCAGACATGAAAGGGATTGATAAAAAGCATTCATGGAGAGAGGGCATTTGTGTTGGGTTCTTGTATAAGGTATAAAAAATTGGGGGTGGTGGACAGGGAAAGTAGGGAAAGCTAGATTTTGATTTAGTTGACCATGTGAATGATTTTAAGCTTATTTTTTCAAAAAGAATTTTTGCTAGAAATACAATTATAAATACCTTAGTCCAGGGCCAGAAAGATAGTACAGTGGGTAGGGCACTTGCCTTGTACGTGATTGACCTCAATTTGATTCCTGATATGGTCACTGGAATCTACTAGGCGTGATCCCTGAGGACAGAGCTGGGAGTAAGCCCTGGGAACTTTCAAGTGTGGCCACAAAACACAAAAATTCTGGACTGAGAGAGAATACAGGGATTATGGCATTTGCCTTGCATACAGCAGACCAGTTTGATCCTCAGCACCACACAATCCCCTGAGAACAGAAAATATTACCCAAGAACCACCAGGTGTGAGCCAAAGACCCAAAATACATATAGACATACACACATATATAAAAGCAATGTATATAAGTCTGAGCATAGCCTCAGAGTTTGATCTCCATTCTCAGTATCAAATGGCCTTTTCTGTCCTTCAGATTCTTCCCTTCTGATAACCATCTCAGAGTCTAAGAGTTATTTTTGTTGGGTTTTGTCAGTTTTCTTTATTTATATCCTACATGTGAGTAAAGGCCTTCGGTAATTGTTCTTTCATTTTCCGACTTAGCATAATCATCACAAGTTCTATTCTTGTTGTCACAAAGGCCAAAGATTTCATCTCTTCAAATAGCTGAGTAGGATGCATTCCATTGAGTACTAGATTATTTTAGATAATTGAAGTGGGCCAGGCAGAATTCTTCTTTATTTTAGTTGGCTTTTTTTTTTTTTTTTGGTTTTGCTTTTTGGGCCACAGCCGGCTATTTTCCTTGTATTTTATTCAAAGATTAGAGACTGGCTTCAGGATAACAAGCCTTGGCTTTGCTCAAACCCCAGGTTAGGGGTCCTGAAGTCCTAAGCTGGAGCAGTAGTATAGTGAGCATGGCGCTTGCCTTGCTTGCCTTGCTTGTAGTTGACTTGGATTTGATTCTGGAGTTGACCTAGGTGGACTTCTGATTCCCGCCCCCCCCCCCCCCCCCCGCCCCACTTTAGGTAAACACTGCAGTTTACAAAGTTGTTCATGATGATTTCTGATGGAATATTGATGACAGTTTATAGTCCAACACCAGTCCCACCACCACTATCAGCTTCCCTCCACCACTGTCTCCATTTTCTCAACCATCCCTCAAACCTGACCTCGTAGAAAGCCCATGGTAGTTTATTTTATATTGCTTGTTGTCATTAAATGGCTAACAGAATGATCATAAGATTATTTCCATAGAAAAAAATTGTGAAAATTGTTGTATCTCATCATGGGGACATTAAGTCCTTGTCTGAGGTTTTACTAGTTGAAAGCCTTCTGTGTTAATGTTTTTGTTAGTTGACATTGGTTGGCTTCTGTGTTATATCCCATTCAATCTGGTGTGCTCCCATGTGGTTTTCTGAGCCCTGTGAGGAGTGATCACTGAGTGCAAAGCTAGGAATAAGATTTATTTTACTGCTAGTTATGGCCCCCTGCCCCCTCCAAAAAAAAAAAAATACTCAGAAGTCAAGTTCAGAGTCCATCTTTGTAAATGGATCTAACTTATAGTTGGAATCAACGGACATGAAGCTTCTAGCATATTTTGGAGTCCAGTGGTATGAAATATTTATTATTAGATAGTGATTAATATTTATTATTAGATAATTGTTGGGCTGGAGCGATAACACAGCGGGTACGGCGTTTGCCTTGCATGCAGCCAACATGGCCGACCCGAGTTTGATTCCTCCACCCCTCTCGGAGAGCCTGGCAAGCTACCGAGAGTATCTCGCCCTCATGGCAAAGCCTGGCAAGCTCCCCTTGAAGTATTCAATATGCCAAACACAGTAACAACAAGTCTCACGATGGAGACGTTACTGGGCCCGCTCGAGCAAATCGATGAACAACGGGAAGACAGGGACAGTGACAGTGACAGATAATTGTTGAAAGAAACTACACTTACATTATTGTGGAAGAATAATTCTTTTTGTTTTGTTTTTTGGATTATATGCAGCTGTGCTCAGTGCTCAGCGATCACTCCTGGTGAGGCTTGAGGGACTATATGGGGTACTGGGGCTTGAATCTGGGTTGGCTGTGTGCAAGGCAAGTGTCCTCCCTGTTATACCATTACTCCAGCCCATATTGTGGAAGAATAATTGTTTAGATTAATAAAGTCTTCTAGAAGTTTTTTACCTTTTAGGTAATCTTTCTTATTTTTCCCACAGCATGATTAGAACATTTCTTGAGGCCCTTCTCATTTGTTTATTTTGTTTTAGATCAGCTGAAAACAAAATGACTGAAGTTGAGGTAGAGCCTACAATGTATCTTGGGTCTTCCCAGAGTGAAGTCCTTAATACAAAACCTGATTACCAAAAAATATTGCAGAATCAGAGTGAAATTTTTGATTGTGTGGAGTTGGTGGTAAGTTGGCTCATTTTTTTGGGTTGAATTATCACACGTTGGTACCTTGGTGATCTTAGAAATTAAAAACCTGGAGAGGGACAGGGGAAATAGCCCAGAGGGCTGGAGTACATGCTTTGCTTGTGGGAGGTCTGAGGTTCGATCCCCAGTAGGCATTGCACTGTGTACTTGCTGGCAGGAGACTCTGAACACAGCTGAGGTTTAGGTTGAAAACAAACAAATCAAGCAACACAAAACACAAAAGATACGGAGAGAGGCTAGAGTGATAGTACAGCAGGTAGAGCGCCTGCCATGCTTGTTGCCAACATGGATTTGATCCTCATCACCCTATATAGTCTCGTAAGCACAGTCAGGTTTGCCCCCAAAACAAAACAAACAACAAAAAGACCTGGAGAGTAAGCTAAGTATATTCAATTCTATCTTGGGGAATTATAGAAGAGACGATAGATATTATGTATATGACGTATCTATTGTATATGTATATATATGACATATACATATATGTATATGACATCTATACATATGTATATGACATACATAGACAATGTATATGCTCTGTGCTAATAATACGGGGCAAGCACAGAGGGATTTAACCCAGTGTTGGAGCACCTGCTTTGCTCAAGTGAGATCGCAGAGGTGGTGATTGATCCCAGCAGCACTGCTCTTTGAGCCCCCAGAGCCTCAATAAATGTGTCATCTGTAGTGAGCTCTATACCAAGTGTACAGTCGCTGAACATCACAACAGCAAAGGAATGGGAAGGTGGAGTGGATCAGGATATGGAGAGAATATGCAGGAAAGGCACAGGTTGCTTAAAGAATGTTGAGGCTTCTAGGTGCAAGAAATAGCATTGGGGACATTTGGGAAAACAGGGTGTCTATCTCAGTACCAGCAAGAGGCAGATGGCACTGGGTAGAGGGTCATACCAGAAGAGTTTAGGTAAAAAATGGTTATGCATAACATTAAGGGGTGGGTATGGGAGAAACATGGGTTAGTGAAAAATGCTGGAACTCAGAGAAAGTTGAGCTCTCTGTCCCTAGGCCTGAGAAAGAAGGAGAGGAGCAGTTACTTTGGACTCTGCTAGTGGGAGAAAGTCATAGCTGACTGCATGGAGCATCATGAATTTCAGTTGACAGATACTTCTAACTCAACCCAGAACAGAGCTGGGCAAAAGTACTCTAAGCTCATTCAGCTTCTTCCTACTTGCATCCCTCTAAGAAGCTTAATGTCATGAGATCCTATGCATAGAGGCTATACAGGTTGGCCTGCGGGGGCAGCAGCAGAATGCCTACATGGGTGTGGATTTGGAGGAGCAGAAAGGAATGTCTGGTCTAAGTATTTTAAATTGGAATAATAGTAGAAGTAAAATTTCTGGGTAGGTGATGCCTATGTTTAAGGAACCTCAAAGAAGTCCTGGATCCTTTGAATTCATTGCTCCTTTCTCTGCAGATGGATGAACTGCAGGGATCCATGAAGCAGCTGCATGCCTTTATGGATGAAAGCACTCAGTGCCTCCAGAAGCTGTCAGTACAGCTCGGTAAGCCTCTCTTATGGGGTACTGGGATGTTTAATATCTGCTTGTCCTTCAGATATATGACCTCAGTGTAAAACCTGTATAAGGTGACTTCCTTTTCCTTCACAGTAACTATAAGCTTTGGGTACTCTGGAGCTGATGGGAAATTTCTAGATGTATATACCACAGAAGTACAATGAGCTTCCTTTAATTCTTTTAAAGCCCTGTAAACTGTGTTGTTTAGTAAATACAGTTTCAAAGAAATATCTTTAGTTGGGGCAAGAGCCATAGTATAGCAGAGAGGCGGGTAGGGGTAGGGTGGGTAGGGCGTTTGCCAATCTGGGTTTAATTCCTGGCATCTCATATGGTCTGCTGAACCTACCAGGAGTCACCCCTGAGTGCAAAGCCAGAAATAAGCCCTGAGCACAACTGGCATGGTCAAAAAGAAAAAAAAAATGTATTTCTTTCCTTCCTTTCTCCCTCCCCCCCACCCTTGCTCTCTTTTTGTTTTGTGTTTTTTTTTTTTGTTATTGTTTTGTTTTTAGTATATGGGCCATATCTGGCAATGCTAGGGGCTACTCCTGGCTCCATGCTCCTGGTATTGCTTGCACCAGTTACTCCTGGTGGTGCTTGTGGGACTGTGTAGTACTAGGGATCTGCAGAGAACCCTTTCCAACTTTTTAAACCATTTCCCTCATTCATTTTTGCTGTTCATTCTTCTGAAGTTCCTAAAGGACACTGACATTTCATCTTCAATGTTTTTCCTGACCTTCTTCATTCCTGAGTTATTTGTTCCATCTACCATTATATCCCACTATATTATACTTGGAGCTAGCTCTCCTACCAGACTGCTATTTCCTTGAGGACAATGACTCTTATTTATCACTACTATGCTCTTCAGTGTCTGGTAATGTTCATGCAGTGTTTTTAATAAATATTATTTGAATTTAATTGATTTTTTTTCCCTTCTCTGCAGGGAAGAGAAGCACACAACAATTAGATTCCTCACCAGCTCGAAAATTGCTCAAGCTTCAGCTATAAAAACTCTTTGTGACACGTTGCCCTAGATCTTATTGGTCACCTCATGCATCTTTTCTGCAACTAGATGTTTAGAGTCCAGGAATGGGACTGGAATGTCATCCCTGTAGCAGTGAGCAGATGATTCCTGCCATTACCTTAAGGAATAACTGACTAATTATGGACTCCTTCAGTGTTTTTCTAAGAGTGATGTAATTTATGCATCGAAAAAAATGTTGTATAGACACTTTCCAAAAATGTGCAAAATACTTAAAACTGTTTTGGAATAGCATTCAGATTTATTTGCTTATTCTTTTTAACATCCATCTTAGTCTCTGCTCTTCCATCTTGAGGATATGATTTCAGTCTATGAAGACTAAATCCTGTGAGATATTTTAGAAGTCAAACTAGTTTCCAATTGTAAAGGGATAAAACTGCTTTTCTTGGGGCCGGAGAGGCAGTCCAGCAGATAAGGCTTTTGCCTTGCATGCAAAATCTGTATTTATCAGATGCTTATCAGTTGCTTATCCTCAGCACCCCATATGGTCCCTTCAGCACTGCCAGGAGTAGTCCCCGAGCACAGAGCCAGGAGTCTGTCCTGAGTACTACTGAGTATGGCCCAGATACAGAAACAAAAACTGCTTTTCTAATGTGACTCAGAAGGTGATTTTAGGTAGAGAAGTTTGAGCATTGTTTGTGTTATGTTTATACATATTTCATTTAAAATATCCACACTGAAGGAAATGCTACTACTCATTTTCTGTGTTTTCCTACATCCTCGATTATAGAAAGGGACTCCTTTCTTTGCTCTCTGTATTTCTTAATAGCCTGCATTATAAAATTGCACATGATCAAAAGTTCTCCCTTGTATTTTTGTATATCTTGAGTGTATTAGAAAAATTAAAAGACCAGTTTATGGAAGTGAGCAGTATTGCGGCCCTAGGCCTTAGCACTAATTACCAATAAAAGTACTAGTTCATTGATTGTTAATGTCACTTATTCTCTGGTTCTTAATAAGGAAAACTCATTTCATTCTGGGGCTGCCCCCCATGGACACTGCTAGGGGAGGGATGTTACTCTTGGAGGTGCTCTGGGGATAGACATTGCTGGTTGGGGCAGGGGAACTGAAACCAGGCTTTGCATTACCCCCATGAGCTGTCTACCTTGGCAACCTCTCTAAAATTTTGACCCTTAGTTTATAAGTTATTGAGAGGTGTTATCTCCTTGCTTTGATTTCCATTCTTATTTTTTTGTTTCTTGAGTCACACACATCTTGCTCAGGATTTACTTCTGGCTCATTGCCCAGGGATCACTCCTGGCAGAGCTCAGGGGACCATATACCGGGAATCTAACCCATGTTGGCTGCAGTCAAGTGAGTTACCCTGCTGTACTCTCTGGCCTCGACCTCTATTAATTATTTATTATATTTATGGAACATGGTCCCTCTCAGAGAGCCCAGCAAACTACCAAGAGTATCCCGCCTGCATGGCAGATCCTGGCAAGCTCCCCGTGGTGTATTCAATATGCCAAAAACAGTAACAAGTCTCAAAATGGAGACGTTACTGGTGTCCGCTCGAGCAAATGTATGAACGATGGGAGTACAGTGCTATAGTGCTAATTGGGAAGAGAAAAAGAACTAGAATGCTTGATACAGTCTACTAGACATGGGACAAGAAGATTTAACTGTAGAAGTGATACTTCAGTTGATTTGGGAATGATGAAAGAGTGAAATAGGGCAAGTATTTGCAGTAAAAAAGAATAACACTTTCAAATGAAGGAGGGAAGCATTCTGGGATACTAAAAAATTAGTATGTTGAGTGCCAGGAGTGATCCCTAAGTACAGAGCCAGGAGTAATTCCTGAGGATGTTGGATGTGGCCCAAAAATCAAAGGGGGAAAAAGAGTAGAATTTGAAGTGAATCTTCATCTTGAGCCCTCAATTTCCTTATCTGATAAAGTCACCTATCTCCAAAGGTGATTGTACTTTCCATATTTAATATATTACATGTTCCATTTTTCTGTTCAGTAAAAGTTTCTTAAACTCAATTTTTATTTTTTACAAAGTTATTCATAGTTGGGTTTTAGACAATGTTCCATCACACATCCTGCTCCCAGTGTCATCTTCCCTCCACCAGGAGGAAAATTTTTTTTACTTACCTTCAACCGCTAAATAGAGCACAGAAAAGATAATGTGTTCATATGGAGATGGTTGTCTTTACCAAGGGGACACATACACACACATCACACACAACATACAAACTTTAGTACAGACGGAAAAAGATCCAGTTTGGAATATATATAATAAAATGAAGTGCTCGAATCTAGTTTTCCCACTTTCCAAATTTGGTTCTGGAATTGTACTTGATGACATTTTTTTTTGAGGTCTTTTTTGGAGGGGAGAAGTACTAGATATTAATTAAACCCAAGGCCTCACACATGCAAGGAAAGTCCTCTGTCACTGAGTTACATTCCTGGCCCTAAAGAATTTTTGCTGCCCTTGGGATATATGATAATACTCCTTTCATTTGCACTAATTTAGTTAAGAAGGTGTCTTACATTTAGTCGTTAACATCAGTGGCTTAACTAAATAATGGAATGGGTGATGGTGGTGGTGTTGGTGATGTTTCATACATTTTGGTGGTGTTAAAGTTGTTGGCCTAAGCTTAATGGAGGTAAAAGGTAGAGCCTGATACCCTGATACCTCAAAGGGTGCATGCTCACCTGGCCCCAGAACACTGGTGGGTGTACCTCTGTGGCCCCCAGAACCCTGGCAGAGCAGCACCCCATTGAAGGCCAAGCACCAAACCAGGTCTAGCGCTTCTAGCTGCTATGAGAGTGACGCCCACTTCTTTAGTCTCGAAGGGGTGCATCCCCCATTTACTTCTCACATTGCTCTCAAGAAGAGATGGTATGAGGGCTTGGAGATAGTACAGCACTTGGGTTCCAGGAACCACATGGTCCGCCAGCACTGAGCGCTGCTGGGGGCCATTCTGGCGTCCATACTGCACCCCAGCACTGAGCATCTCTGGATGCAGTCCTAGAGGTCTCCGCGGTACTGCAGGGCTGGCGTGGGTTGTGCATGGCACTGCCTGCTCGGCCCTGGCACTGAGAGTTGCCAGTAGAGTCCCTGGGCCCCAAAGCACTAATTGGGAGCCCCCAGTTAAACAGAATCAAAACCAAAGAGAGGGTATGACTGGCAGTTGTTGGGAGATGTTGGAACAGAAGAGTGGGAATCGGGAGCCCTGAGTCTCTGGGCTCTGGTTCTGCAATGACTCAGTTCATTCAAAATTTACTAAAGCCACTTCCACCAGCCGAACCCTCTGCGAGACGCCTTGAAGCCAGCAGTAGATCTCTGCGCCTGTTAAAAGGAGGTGGCCAGGCCCCGCCAGGCTTTCCCCGGGCAAGGGGCTCGGCGGAAGGGGCGGAGGCCAGCCCGACGCAGCCCTCACGCCCCTCCCTCGGGGCAGCGCTAATTGAGGGTCCTCCGAGGAGACGCCGCAGTCAGAAAAACTACATCCAAGATGGCGCCTCCGGCCCCTCCCGGCGCCGCCACCATCATCTCGGTAGTTCTCGGGGCCGGCGGGCCTAGTGCGCCTGCGCGGCCCGGCCCCCTCAGCGCGCCTGCGCGGCCGCAGCGCTTCCCCGCTGCCCCCCGCCCCCTCCCGCCTTCCCCCGCCCCTCAGCGCCGCTGCTGCTGCTGCCGCTGCTGCCGCTGCCGCTGCTGCACTCACGGCGGTACCCGCGCCTCAGGTGAGTGAGCGCTTCGGTCGCGGCCGCGCGGAGGGGCGCCCGGCGCCGCCGGCGGGGCACGTCACTCCCCGAGTCTCGGTGACGCGGCGGGACCCGGGACTCGCGCTGCCTGCCCCGGGCCGGGGGTCTGCCCCGGCACCCGGCGTCCTCCTTCCTCGCGCGCGGGCCAGCCCGGCCTCCCCGCGGCCGCTCCCCCGGCCCGGGCTGTGAGGCGGCGGCCGAGCCTCGGGGCTCCCGGCGCGGCGACCCCCGCTCCGGCTCCGGCTCCGGCTCGGCGGGCGGCTGTGCTCCGGGTGGGCCTCGGGGTCGGGCATTCCCGTGCCCCGCCCGCCCCTCAGGCGGGGGACTCGGGGAGACGAGCTGGGGAGCGGGGCTCGCGCCCCTGCGGCCGCGGGTGCCGCCGAGAGCATCCTCTCTGGCGGGACCCCGACACGGCCCCGCGACGCGGCCGCTTCGGGAGTCCCACTTGACACTGTGAGGAAACTGAGGCACGGCGCGGCGGAGAGCCCGGGCTCAAGGTCAAGAGGCGGGGCTGACTGTTTGACCTCAGGGTCTCTCGGCTTCTCCCAGCCGGCGCAGGTGGAATTTGATCTTCCACCCTTGGAGGAAAAAAAAATTTTTTTTTTTTTAATCTACTTGTCATCTGTGGAGTTGCTTTTGGCGGCGTCCTAAAAGTCTGCTGCAAAAATAAAAAATGCATTTTCCTGTTAGTGGCGGAAGATTGAGGGGGCTCTGTATTGATGAAAACAATAGTTGTGCTCCTCATAAGCTCTAACGTTGGTCTAATGCGTGCAGTGGCCAGAGGTTCTTGGCTAAACCGCCCGTGCAGATTATCCCACTTGATACTGGCGCGCTGGCCAATGCAGTGTCTTCCCCAGGTTCTCTCCTGCAGCCTTTTTTTCTGCAGAGCTGGTCTCCCTGTCACAGGTAGACCGGGAGCCTCATGCTCTCCCGTGGCGCTTTCCTGGCAGAGCAGCGCGAAGCCGTGTCTGCCTGCATCCAGATTTTCCACCTAGCCTGGCCTCCAGAGGATATAATTAGCTTCCCCTTCCTTGGCTGCTAGCACAGGACTGGGGCGAGCTGGGCTGGTTGGATTTGGAGGTGACAGAGCAGATTTGGCCGACACTCACCTCATTCTGGGGCTTTCTGGCTCCTTTTCAGTTCTGGACTCAGTACTTAAGAGAAAGTCAAAAGAGACAGAACCTTGACAAAGTGGTGCTGAATGTGAGACACTGCCGTGATTTCAAGGCCAAAAGGAACAGCCATAAACATATGTGAATGCTTCATCCCCAAAATAACTTGCTGCAAATCTTTTTTTTTTTCTTTCTTTCTTTTTTCTCCCCTTCTTAGCAAATCCTCCTACACACTTCAAAATTCCACTAACTCACCACCTTCTCTGTGAAGCCTCCCTTGCTTGATTTTTCCAGTTAGGAGCACACACACATACTCACACACTCTCATGCACTGGAGGCTGGAGGCACAGTCTTCCCCTTAAGGTCCTTACCTCCTTGAGGTTAGGGTCCCTCTTTGCAGCCCCCCAGTGCTGGGCTCCTATTCCGGGCCCATGGGAAAGTGTCAGTGAATTTTCCACTGTTCCTTTTCATTATTCAGGCAAGGAGTGAAGGCTTTCTCTATCCTTCGGTTCTTTTTTCTTAGCCTTCAATTTTTCTTTGCTGTCCCTTCCTTTAGATTGAACTGATTTCTCCTGCCTCTTAGGCATCTTTGGTTTACTTTGCTGTTTTTGAAAATTTGCACAGGAGGATCCAATATCGGGTTTATCCCAACTCTGGAACTAGCACATGCAAGTTCAGAGTACAGGATAGTGTGTGTGTGTGTGTGTGTGTGTGTGTGTGTGTCTTTGTGTCTTTGTGTCCGTGTGTGTGTGTTGCAGCAAGATTGCCTTGGGATTTTTTTTTTTTTTGAGGGGGCAGTTTGGGTCACACTTGGTGGCAATGCTCAGGGATGGTTACTTCTGGCTCTGCACTCAGGAATTACTCCTGGTGGGCTCGGGGGACTATATAGGATACCAGGGATCAAAACTTGATTGTCCATATGCAGGGCAAACACCCTTTCCACGTGCCATCACTTCAACCCCACCTTATGATCTTTTAGTGTTTAAGTTTAGTCTGTCCCCAAATGTATATAAGATTCCTTTTGCATTCTTTC